ACATGGAGAACTGAGCACCCCGGGCTGGGTTTTGGGGCAGATTATATAGGGAAGGGTCAGGCAGAAGCGAGCGTACAGAAGCAGATGCATGGTTACAGGAGTCTCATTGGTCAATTTTAATGAGGCCATGAGGTCATGTCTAAGACAGGTGTCGGCTTTCCGCTGGGTGCCTGACAGTTTGGGGACTTTCCATTCCTCCCCCTTAATCTTGTTCATGCGGTGGCATAACTCCTGGTGTCTAACCGCAGGCATCCTGTTATGCAGACTCGACAATAACATCTGTGCCTTTGTTATGAGCCCCAAGACCTTGTTATGAGCCCCCAGTTCTTGGTTCAAGCCTTGCTTATAATGGCGTTACAGCAGCTAAACAGCCAGGCGGGGGTCTTTCACCACAACATTCAAAAAAATAAAGGTTTTTCAGATTCATTTCTGTATCTAAAAGCCTACAATATTTTCTAGAAAAAACTGAAAATACACCCAAGAAATATATTTATAGTCAGTTAATTTTATCTTCTTCATTTCTGTTTGTGACATTCACTAACATAGCTATCACCATTAGAACATACGATTGAGTAAACCAGATCATTTCCTGTCTTGCCATGACAGAATTCTTGAATATCCAGACAGCTCATGTACTTTCTCTGCAACTGTTACATGGTTAGTCAGACACCGGCACGCTTAGTTCGGACACCCTCGCCTCTTTGTTTATGGTCTTAGCTGGGATCATCTTTGTGGATTCCTGGCAATTTCTCTAGAGCCAGGTCTTGCTAGTCCCCTAATGGCTTCCTCAATCAAATATCCCTTTTCTTGCTCATATCTCTGTCCTTCAACTCCTTTTCCCTCAAGTTCTCCTCCCGCCTACGCTTCTTCTCTCCTCTTCCTATTCACCATTTCCTTCTGCCCACACCCCCATGCTCCCAATTTTGACAGGCAATTTTGTCTATTTCCTCTTTCCAGGTGGATCTATATGTTTTTCTTAGGATTCACCTTGTTACTTAGCTTCTCTAGGGTCATGAACTATAGGCTCATTATCCTTTGTTTTACAGCTAGTATTCACTTATGAGTGAGTAGATACCATAGTTATCATTTTGGGTGTGAGTTACCTCATTCAAGGATGTTTTTTCTAGTTTCATCCATTTGCATGCAAATTTCAAGATTATTTGTTTTACAGCTAGTATTCACTTATGAGTGAGTACATACCATATTCATTATTCTAGGTGTGAGTTACATCACTCAAGATGGTTTTTTTCTAGTTCCTTCTGTTTGTATGCAAATTTCAGGATGTCATTAATTTTACTGCTGAGACTAACTCTGTTGTATAAATGTGCCATACTTTCTTTATCCATTCTTCAGTTGACGGCATATAGCTTGGCTATTACAAATAATGTTGCTATAAACATAGTTAAACAATTGTAGTATGATTGAGCATCATTTGGGTATGGCTGGATCCAAAGGTAGATTGATTTCCAATTTTCTGTGATACCACCATATTGATTTTCAGAGTAGTTGTACAAGTTTGCATTCCCAACAGCAATGGAAGAGTATTTTCCTTATTTCACATCCTCTCCAGTATAAGGTATCATTGGTGTTTTGATCTTAGTTGTTCTGAGTGGTGCAAGATAGTATTTCAGAGTCATTTTGATTTGCATTTCCTTGATGACTAAGGATGTTGAACATTAGCTTAAGTATCTTTTGGCCATTTTAGATATTCCATTGAGAATTCTCTGCTCTGTAACCCACTTTTAAAAATTGATTTTATTGAGCTATGTATTTTTATCCTCTCTCCCCCCTTCACTCCCCTCCCCTTCTACCCTTTCCCAATGTCCCCATGCTTCTACTTTACTCGGGAGATATTGTCTTTTTCTACATCCCACAGAGATACCATAGAGGTTATCTCCATTTTGGGCTTCAGATTCTATCTGATGACATTTTTTAATCTTTGAGTTGATAGAAATTAGGGTTTTGTTTCTAATTTCTGCAATACTTCTCTCATAGTTACATAGTTGTTAGGACATGGTGTAGGAGGTCCTTCTGTTGGTGTTGCTTTCATTGGGAAATGAATAAAGAAACTGCTTTGGCCTAGTTGATAGGGCAGAACTTAGGTAGGCAGTGAAGTCAGAACTGAATGCCTGGAGGAAGAAAGGTGGAGTAGGAGAGAGACACCATGGAGCCACCAGAGTCAGACATGCAGAATTCTTCCCTGTAAGTCATTGCCACATGGAGATATACAGATTAATGGAAATGGGTTAAATTAAGATGTGAAAGTTAGCCAATAAAAGACTAGGGCAAATGGGCCAAGCAGTGTTTTAATTAATACAATTTCTGTGTGGTTATTTCGGGGCTAAGATAACCATGGTCAGGATGAACAAGCACCCCCTCCCTGCAACAAGGACAAATACAAAAGAAGACAAAAATATATTTTTTTAGAGACTAAGATAGCCCAAGATAACTTGGGACATACAGAATTCCAACTCTCCAAAATATTGGAGTTCCAGTAAGTCAGTCTTATAGGAAGTTTAGTGTAGGTTCAGCCTCCCCCCACCCCAAAACATCAGTTAATATTTTCCTCTTATCATTTAGGCCAGCCCTGCCTCACTACTGAACAGACTTTCAGTTTCATTTCTCAGGCAAAGTTCATTTCTCATAAATGCTTATTTATATTCATGGGTGAAAGGAGAGTTGTTAGTCAACTGTGTGTCTGTTGATTAACCAGTGTTTTTTGCAAGCTTTTTTGGTGTTTTCCCTTTTATTTATTTATTTCTTCTTTTCTTTCTTGTTTTTCTTTTATTGTGCTTTCATTTCCCAATTTTTACTCCATTGAAATTTGGAACTCGGAAGACTTGAGGACACAGTCCCTTTTTCTGTATGTTCAGGGCCATGGGAAAGCTTCCCCAGTCAAAAACAGTGATGTTTGTGGAGACTGGCATCCTGTGTACAGTAGAGCCAGAATGGAAAGCAAAATCTGCTTTGCTCCAGCTTTCCTGGAGTGGATTGAGTCCCCAAGGCCACTTTAAACAATAGCTGTGCAAATAATCAGACCAAATGCTGGTAAGAAGCAATGAGGAGCATCTTGTGATGACAGTCAAGTTCCTTCCTTACTCCCTGGTTATCTTCACTCTTACCCTAGAAAAGAGGTTATCTGTCTTATAGACAAATATCTGAATTCTTCTACTAAGGTAGGTGTGGAGGGAAAAATATTCTTACATTCAAACCAAAGGTCTCCAGTCCCAAATTTCAAAAGAATGCATTTAAAATATTATTCTCATAAGGATTAGTTGAGGTTTCATGGGGTATTTCAAAATCCTATTTGTTATAATTGCTTAAAGTTTTCTTCCAATCCAACCATATTCTCAAATGGAAAACCTTTAAGTTACTTATAAACTCATAGTCCTTTGCAAGCAATAATCACTTAGGTAAATGCTCATTTCTCTTCTAACTACTTTGTAGAAAAAAAGTATCCAGCTTTCCCCCAAATCCTCTTCCAAACCTTAGTTCTGATGGTTTTCCTTAGGAACTAACTAATTCTGGCTAATTTAGCTACTCATCTTGTTCCTAGTTGTTGCTGTCTCTTATGTGCTAGTATCAGAGACACCCATTACTTATGCCTAACATTTATGTGGATTCTGGAGATGTGCACACTGGTCTTAATCCTTGCATAGTCAGCACTTTATCCACAGAGTTATCCCCTCAGCTCCTGCCTGATTTTCTGTCATATGATTCAAAAAGCATGGCTTTCTACTCTCATCTAGCTCCCTCTTCCTAAAAGCTACTAAGATGTCTAGCTGTCTTTGCCAATTTTGGTTTTCCCTCAAACTTCAAAAAAAAGATATCCTTAATTTTTTATGTAAGATTATTTATTTATAAAATGTACCCTGCATTCCCTAGAGACACAACTCATGATATAAATAGAAATAACAGAAGATTCCTTCCAGCAAGGAGGACTTGGAGGATTGCCCTGCTGAGAGTAAATTCTGCCCCTGCCCTCATATAAAGCCCTCTGTCAGAGATGTAGCTGGCAGTCTGCAGCATTGCCTCCTCCTGGAAGGATCAGCCTCTTCCTGCACTTCTCTCTGGAGCAGCAGACTTCCCTTGAGGAGACAAGTAAGTGGAAGAATAGGTGGAAAGCAGGGTGGACAGTAAGTTAAAAACTGAATAGATAACACAAATTAGAAATTGATGGAAAATTTAAAGGAGCCATTAGAAAACCAGTGATTATAACTTGCAGATACTACAAAAATAATATGGTACTGAATCTAAAGTTGACATTGCCAACTGCTCCACTGAAAACACGAAATGAAGCCAACCCCAAGGAAAACAGACTTTACTATCTGTCTATGACTTCCATCTTCAAGTTTTAGTGATGTGGAGGACATTTTATGCAACCCCAGGATAAATAAGAAAACTTCTCCTCTTCAAGTAAAGTTTCTTGCATTCTCACAAGTTTGACTTGGACCTAAGACCTTTTCCTCTAGAGTCAGTAGATGCATTTTCTTTTCAGAAAAGCACATTACATGTTTCCAAGTGACAAGGGAATCTGAAGTGAAGGGAGATGACACGTGTGCAGCTCCTAGGCCTTAGGATACTGTGCAAAAGAGATGGGTCACTGAAAGGTGAAGGAAATAACTTGAGCTAGAAGGAAAAACAGTAGCTTCTGCTCCCTCTGTCACAGCACGAGAAAGCAGACCTACAGAGAAACCTAGCCATTTGGAGGAAGGAGAAGGAGAAGACAATCCCAACAACTTCCTCACTTTTACAAAGTGCAAATCTTAAGGAGACAAGGCAAGTCCAAATTTCTGAATATTTTAAAGCTATTATAATAATAATAAATCTAAAATTATGTGAAGATAATGGAGACATATGATAAAAAATAACTTGATCATTTGTTTGACCAAATAAAATCAAGACCACATGTAAGCAGAGGCATTTTTGAAAATTTATTGCAGAAAATAGAAAAGGACATTTGCAACAGGATAACTAATGCAATAGTAACATCTCATAAACATAACAAACGGGCCGTGGGGAAAGGGATCTCTCTTATATTTGTAATGTTTTGTTGTCAATCTGTGGCTTTTGCAAGATGGGGAAAGCATACTTGCTACAACTCACAAGAAGACGTGAGAGGACAGCTCCGTGGACTATCTTCTCTCCTTTGACGTTTATGTGGGTCCCAGGGTTCAAATTCACATTGTCAGGCTTGTGTGGCAAGTGGTCACCGAACCATATTACTGGCCCAGAACAGAATCTTTCTTATATGGGAGGCTGGACATGACTAGGAAGAGGCCAACAGGAGCCAATCAACTACTTAGAGATTGGTTTCCCTGAATTGAGCTGGGAGAGGAAAAAGAAGGGTTAATTATAACCTGTCTCTGGTGTAGGGTCAGACAAAGTTCAGGAGCAGGAAAAACTTAAAGTTTCATTTACTATTTTGATTTTAATAATTCATCATGAGTAAATAATGACACTAATCTTGTATGAGGCAGTGAATTGGAAACTGAATGGGCTATGTCTGGCCTGACTTCGGTTAAAAAGGATGGCGCTAACTATTACATGATTAAGTTAGGTCTCATCTAATTTTGCATGATTCTTTATTCAGTATTTTATATTCTTAATATACTTTAGAAAGCAAAGTCATTCTGTAAAGAGTGAAGCTTGACACTAAGTATCTTACTGAAGCTTTTAGGAAGAAAACCAGGAATACAGCAGTTCCAAAGAATCTTGGCATCCAGTTAAAGAAATGTATAGTGGTTTAAAAAAAATGAAAAGATGCAGGATATTTACTCTACATGATCATGCTGAGATGAACACATGCAGGAGAATCAGTGGTCCTTAAATTTGTCGTCATTAGCATGGGAGATTTAGATTCAAAAAGAGAGGAAAAAACGTATGCATGATTGAGCCATCCTGGTATAGATTCATCAAAGTCTCAACAACTGGAAGGTGGTCACCCCTGCTGGTGGTCTCATAATTGTTAAATTGGTCATCTTTTCACCCATCACAGGGAATAGAGCCTTGCCCTCATGAAAAATTCTCATCTAAGAGGTAATTAGTTTATTCATCTGAGTTTTCCTCTTCTGGGATTCAATACCACTCAAGAGGAAATGTTAAGAACAATAACTTACCTCTGTGACTTCAGGCCAAATACAGACACACAATGAAGGCAGAGATGTCAGTCTTATCCTGTTTCAGTTACTGTGGGCAAAACTAGAGTCAGTGTTTACTTAAAAGCTGTTTCTATGTCCACCAGCGCCACCAACTGGAACATAAGTGTCCAAATACAGGAGCTCATTATAAACATTTCAGATTCAAGGACACAATAGGTATCTTATTTACCTCCACCTTAGTTAGCAAATATGAAAAAGCTTCAAAGCCACCGGTATGCAGATGTTTCTGTGAATACTACTTTGCAACTACTTTGTGAAAATACCAAGGGATATTGTAACATGAGGGGGCCGGCTTGTTGGGGTTTCCATCCCGCCTGGTACCCCACAGCTGGCAAATCCTAAAGAGAAATCACACACAGGACTCCATAAGGTTATAAACTGGTTGGCCCATTAGGTCGGGCTTCTTGTTAACTCTTATATATTACCCCATTATCCTTATCTATGTTAGCCACATAGGCTCAGTACCTTTTTCAGTGTGACAGCTTACATGTTGCCTCTTCGGTGGCTGCACAGGAGTGGCAGAGGAACCTCTCTGCTTCCCAGAATTCTCCTGTTCTCACCTCTACTTCCTGTCTGGTTTTCCCGCCTATACTGCCTGCCTGGCCAATCAGCGTTTTATTAAAATCTGATTGACAGAATACAGACAATTCTCCTGCATCATTTCCCTCTTTTTTTTTTTAACAAAGGAAAATACCCATAGTCCATTTGTTGGGAATGTGGGCGTAGTATTTCAGGCTACTTCCTGCTGGTTGGGGGCACTGATAGTCTTATGGGGAACTAAAGAAAACTTAGAGTTATAATCAAGTCCTGACTGGAGTATCCTGTGAGTCTTGATCACCTCAGGCAGCAGTCTTGAACCTGTTCTGGATGAAGAACTCAGACATCTGGGCCTAACGGAAATTTCTCAGGAGGTCTTCCTTTATCGAACCTGATTTTTCTTAACTCAGAATGAATCCACAGCTTCTCATTTTCTGTGGAAACAAAAGCAGAATCTCTTCTCCAAAGTAACATACCTTTTGTCTTCAGTTTTGAAGCCAAGGTATTTTCAAAATACCTATCTTGGTTTAGTTCAGCAGCATTTATAAACAAAAGTCTTTTAGCAGCTGTTGTTCCTTCCTCAGCATTCAAACAATTCAAAGAGAGCATAATAGCATACAGTATTAAGATTCTTTGTATATTTTCCATCTTTATTTTAACCTCTATTTTTTCTATTTTTACTTTTACTTTTTGAGACAGGATCTCTGTATATCTTCGTCCTGGAATAACTCTGTAGACCAGGCTGTCCTTGAACTAACAGAGAACCTTCTGTCTCTGCCTCCCCAGTGCTGGGATTAAAGGTGTATGCTACCACACCTTGAACTCACAGAGACCTGTCTGTCTCTGTCTCCCAGGCATTGGGATTAAAGGCGTGTGCTACCACACCTTGAAGTCACAGAGGTTAATCTCTACCTCTCTCCCTTGAAGTCACAGAGGTCAATATGCCTCTGCCTCCCAGGCATTGGGATTAAAGGTGTGTACCTCCACACACTGAAGTCATAGAGGTCAATCTACCTCTTCCCCTTGAAGTCACAGAGGTCAATGTACCTCTGCCTCCCAAGTGTTGGGATTAAAGGTGTGTACCACCATACCCAACTACTCTCTTTCTTTTTACTTTAAGAACTTTAACTTTTATCCTGCATATATTTTTAACACACTGTAAACCATTTAGAGGTTTTCTTCATCTTTGAATCTCTCTTTACTGTATATCTCTCTTTTTCTGACCACATGAGTCTAAAACCGTGGCTTTGACGGCTAGATCCAATCCATTCCTTAGCTTTCCAGACTCAAGGTAGAGGTACCACTGGAGCCTTTTACTGCCACAACTCTATGGCGTTTCAAGGTCCCTGCCAGCAAGCAAGCTGGAGCATTCTGCTCACAGACCACACTCAGTTGGACTGCCTGCCTGAAAGAGTCAGAGATTTCCCTGTCAGGACAGCCCAGAAAGCCGGCATTTTAAAATGGCGCAGCTTGTTCCTGCTACAGCTGAAAGCTGAAAAGCATGCCTCCAGCTTTTCACCAACACTGTTTAAGTGTTTCGTGGGAGGACCTCTTAATGAGCTGCAAGGTTTTGCAGCTAAAGCTGAGTCAGGAAACCTCTCTTAGATGAGAGCATTTGCTTGCCTCTAGCAAGCAGAGCAGACCTGAGAAATTGCTGCTACCAGGAAACATGCTTTACTCTATTCTTTTCCAAGCTTTCTCAGGCTTTTTGTGGATTCAGTTATCCACAGGGGCGCCATATATAACATGAGGGCCAGCTTGTTGGGGTCTCTGTTCCGTCCGGTACCCCACAGCCGGCAAGCCCCAAAGAAAAATCACACACAGGACTCCATAAGGTTATAAACTGATTGGCCCATTAGGTCAGGCTTCTTGTTAACTCTTATAACATATATTACCCCATTATCCTTATCTATGTTAGCCACATGGGCTCAGTACCTTTCTCAGTGTGACAGCTTACATGTTGCCTCTTCAGTGGTTGCACAGGAGTGGCAGAGGAACCTCTCTACTTCCCAGAATTCTCCTGTTCTCATTGCATCACCTCTACTTCCTGTCTGGTTTTCCTGCCTATACTGCCTGCCTGGTCAATCAGCGTTTTATTAAAATATGATTGACAGAATACAGACAATTCTCCCGCATCAGGATATGATTACATATTTATATGCATGAATATATAGTTTTGCAGAAACCCAGTCTTCATAAATGGTGGTATCCTATTGTAATTCATAAGCGTGGAGTATTGTCAGGAACACAGATGTTACTCAATATACTAATAATAGTAATAATAATAATAATAATAATTCTTGATTTCTTTCACTTGCATTTCCAAGATGACACATCATGTAAAAAAAAGAAAAAGAAAAAAATTAAAAAAATGTTCCCTAAACCTATAAGCAATCTGTAAATCTTTGTGAAAAGTTTACTAGAATCTTTGACCCCGTCTTCAAGTGTGCTGTTCAATTACACACCATTGGTTTTTAAAGGTTGCTTGTGTTTTGAATGACACTACTTTATTACATATCCTGTATTTTCTCCAAGCCAATGGATCTGCTTCCTATTCTCTTCATTTTGCCTTTTACAGAACAGAGATTTTTACACTGAGTGAAATGGTACTAGTCAGTTTCATATCACTGTAACTAAATATCTAAGAAAATCAACTTAATGGAGTTTAGAGTGTCTGAGAATTCAGTCCATGATCAGCTGGTTTCTTTTCCCAGCAGGAGCATCAAATTGGGCTTTAGTGTGTCACTTTGGGTGGCAGTTTAGAAACAAACTACAACATTAACAAATGCTTTATTTGATTTGGTTTTTATCTAAATTGCTATAATTATACCAATATTTCATCTTGGATTTTTTTTTCTACTTTACTTTTGAAGAGATTCCATAGTACATTTAAACTTGTATTTCATGTTGTTTTATAAATATTTGTGAGATGGTTTTTAGAAAATTTCATACAATATATTTGATCCTATTTATCTAATTCTGCCAACTCTTCCTGCCACATCTCCCTACCCTACTGACTGAAGTTTGTATCCAGTTTTAAATTTATTTTTATTTTTTCCAAACCTTCCAGGTCCTATCTGTGTTGCCCATATATTCTTGGATATGTGGCCATTCACTGCAGCCTAGACAACCTGCCAAGGGAAACACCTTTAAAAAACCTAACTCTCACTCTCCCAGTATCTGTCAAATACCAATATCACCTCAGCTAAGGAGTAGGTCTTCATATCTACCTCTGTTCTCCATGCTGAGATCTTGTCAGGCTTGGGTTTGTGCAGATTTAGTTACATGCTGTCACAACTGTGTTAGTTCACATACTCACCTTTTGCTTTCTGTTGAGAAAACACTGTTTCCTAGTAGTTATCCACCATGTCTGGCTCTTATAATCTTTTGCCAAATGTCCTACAAGAATTAAGAGCCATGGAAGGTGGAGGTATGAGATAGAAGTCCCAAATAGGACTGAGAACTCCACAGTCTCTTATTTTCGGAACCTTGGCAAGTTGTGGCTCTCTTTTTAAACTACTGCTTCCTGCAAAATAAGCTTCTTTGATGAGACTTAAGTGATTCACTAACCTATGAATATCATACGTCAGCAAGAGTCAGTTAAATACTGTAGATTTAGCAGAATAGTAGGGGTAGGCTCTTGAAAACATATAAACTGTCTAGACATCATTTTCAGAAATATTAAGAGGTGTGGGTGTCAAATTGGAAAGTTCTTAAATCTTAACAGAAAGTGATTTATTATTCCTGTTATATTCACATCACTAATGCAACAGAAGCATGACTTGCTATGATGACAAACAGGTCAATAATGTGGGTTACAAGTTGTCAGATAGAAAATACTGATTATTAGCTTTTTGTGTGGAGCAGACAAAGTTCTGATTGGATGTTGAGGGAGTCAATGATGTTCTGGGTGGATGCATGTTGTTGACATGGCACTACTGTGAGTCAAGGACCCTAATACCTTAGACCCACAGAAGCATCAGGCTTCTGCCACTGAATCTCAAAGGGCAATAGGAACATCTTCCACTGGTCTGAGTGAAAAGATTAACAATGTATACAGGAACTACCAACCTGAGCATCTTCCTCCTGGATGACTGAAGCCAGAGACTGCTCCTGTACAAAGACCTGCTACAAAAATTAGCTAAGCCTGCCTCCTCCTTCAGTAGTATAAAAGAAACACAGTGAGTTTCTGGACTGCATTTAGTACCTTTCATCAGAGTGAGCATAACTTACCCGATCTCAGCTTTTCTGTACCTGTGTCTGTCCTTTTTTTCTTTCACTGGTCAGCTTATTTAAGTCAATACCTGAAGCCATGCAGATGACAGAATCCAGCAGCATATTTAGCAACTTCCACCACTGCGAAAGCTAGCCAGTAGGGATAGAGACTCCCAAGCAAGTACCAGCTTGGTCTACCAGTGTTCTAGGACTCAAGTATGCAGTGTTTTCAACAATAAGGTCTTACCATTAAGTTCTAGGATGAGAACAGGAGAACTGACCACAACTTTAATGCTTGGGGGTCTGTAAGACCACACTGATCAGCACTTCTAAAAAGGATAATGCAGTTTTTTCACTGCTCATTTTTTAATGTTAACCTGTGATATCTAGTAAGAGAAAGATCACCCATTTGTAGAGTAACTCCATTTTAACTTTTTTTTTTTAAAATATGGGCACATGTATGTTTTTAAAAGCATCTACAGAAGTAGGTTTCTTAATGTAATTTTTGGAGGGTCTTCAGTGTTAGTTATCCCTCCATATTATCCTTCTTTTTCCTGCCCTCTCATCTCCCCCCATACTTATACCACACACAAAAACTCCCTTACTATTTTTGAACAATTTCAAATCAATGTGCTGTATATCCCCTCCTGTAGAACACCCGAGTCTGCGTCTCCCTCCCAGTACGAATCGCGCTTCTGCACCTCCCATGAGTTGGGGCAAAGGCCTGAGGATTGAACATAAGACACACCC